GTGCCCTGGAGTTCAATCTCCAGTACCCCTCACCTCCCCAAAAAAAGTCTCAAGAGGAAGGTAACAAGGACACAAAAGACAAAATCTCAAACATGATCCACTCCCAACTGTTGGGACCTTTTACCTCCCTTGGGACCACGGCCATTATTGGGTGTTGGCTGAGGCGGACTCATGGGTTAGCATTTCCGTATATGTGACCTGGCTGGATTGGTGTTCACGGGCTTTTAGCCCGCGCATGGGCTTTTGACCTTAGTCCCACCTAATGGTTTAATCTGAAATCTGCCTAGGCCCCTTAGTGATAGTGACGTAACTGCCCCTTATTGATTCTTGCTACTGTCTTTTCTTACTCCCTCCTATCACTATATAACCTTGTCCCTTACACAATAAAGTTGAGATTATTGCACCTTCACGGCATCTCCCGATGTGATTGTGGGCCAGGTTGGATGGTGGGCTGGGTCGAGACATTTAACCCTCTTGCTCAGCCCAGGAGACACTAGCTGGTTTAGTGAGCTTCACTACCCCTGTCAGAGGGCGGTTCCGACAGCTGGTGCCTCGGAGATGATAGGCTGGTCTCCCATGTACCCTTGTCGTGGGGGGGCGATACCCAACATTTAGCAACTTCTGTATTTTCTAGTGGATTTTAGTACGTATTTCTAGTGGATTTTAGTACGTGGTATTGGGGATTGAACCAGAGATTAAAGCAGTACTTTACTGCTCAGATACATCTCCAATCCTTTTTATTTTGAGACAGATTCTCAGCTAACCTCCAGGCTGACCTTATGTGATTCTCCTGCCTCAGCCTCCAGTCATGTGTATCACTACACCTTTCCAATATATTATGAAAATCCTTACCTTACCATTTTGTGTGTGTGTGTGGGGGGGCGGATTTAAGGGAGGGAAATGAAACTCAAAGCTTTGTCAGTTAAAATGAAAATAAGGTAAACATAAGGGCATTAAGTACAACCATCGGCCCAACTAATAAGAGCTCCATGAACTAAGAAAAATAACAATTTCCTAAGAAATCAAGGAAGTACATCTACAGCTTTGCCACTTCAGGCTAACAGACAGAAAGGACAGTTTGAAGGTGATCAGTGCATAAGTAGCCTAATTACTGCATATAATCTAAACATTTCTTCTTTTTAGATAAAACAAGTGAAAAAAAATACCTATCTACAGGGCTGGGGTTGTGACTCAGTGGTAGAGCGCTTGCTTCACATGTGAGGCACTGGGTTCGATTCTCAACACCGCATATAAATAAATGAATAAAATAAAGTTCATCAACAACTAAAAAATATTAAAAAAATATATTTACAAAGCAAGCAAAACACAGTCCATAAATATAAATAAGCAACGTTATTCAGCCTTCAAAACAAGTAACGGCTTTTATTCTATGTCTCAACTGGTCGCAACAGAGAGCTGCCATTAGATCCTCACACACAACAAAAATATCCCACCACCACAAGTACAGAGTGCTACCAAGAATTATCATCTTCCTTACCAGGTAGGTCATGTCCACAAATGGAAAAACTTGCATGCCCAATTACCCTTTCAAATGATTAAACAGAAGGTATCTCCAGAAGAACAGACAGTAAATTTCTAACAAGTCAAGTTTGATATCTTATTAAGGAGGTAGGGGAAAGGCACTGAAGAGCTGTTTAACTACTACTGATTCCATGCAGATTCCAGCCCAAAGGGATCCTATATCAAAACAGAATTTAAACTTAGACATAAGGAGAACCTAAATACTAAAAATATTCAAGTCATTATGGGGTGTTTTAAGGAACAAAAATCTAAAATGGACATATCTGGTAAATTTCAGATATACTTTGAGTTCTTAAGATAAAAGATGTTTCACTCTTTTATTTAATATTTATTTTTAGTTGGATACAATATATTGATTTATTTTTATGTGGTGCTGAGATCTGGAACCCAGGGCCTTGCATGTGCTAGGGGAGCGCTCTACTGCTGAGCCACAACCCCAAAGATGTTTTACACTTAACAATCACTGCTGATAAAAACTGCAGCGTTTTGTGAGAGACTAAGAAAACACCCAATTTCTCAAACCTTCAGTATTAAGATTCCTTAGTAAAACTTTGAGTAAATTTTTTTTAAGTAAATTACTTATTTCTAAGATAGCCATATTGGAACCTATTAACTCCAAATGATTTTATTCTACTGGAAATAACAATTCTTAACCAAACTTACAAACAAGTGAAATTATATAGAAGCAGACTGCATATATATGTTGTACAATTCTTTTGTGCTTAACAAAAACTTCAAAGCCCTTATCATCTGGGTTAGCAGAGCACCAATTTGAAACCCACACTATATGGCCTTTAAATATATTCATCACCTTTTTACTATCTATCACCTTGTTAATCCAGCTACACAAGTAAAACATTGAAAAATCTATATCTTAAGAAATCATATCAAGGGCTGGGGTTGTAGCTCAGTGGTAGAGCCACCTGCTTGGCATGTGTGAGGCACTGGGTTAGATTCTCAGCACTACATATAAATAAAAATAAATAAATAAAGGTCCATCATCAACTAAAAAAAAGTAATTTTTTTTTAAAAAAAGAAATCATGTCAGTCAAGGTACAAAAGAACACAACTGACTGACTCTCCTTCTTCTGGGATTGAAGTAACGCATAATTTCAAATGCTACTCTTTTAGTTATACAATCCAAATGATGAACCAATTTCCTTAAAAAATATCTGGTTAAGATATGCATCTGGTTTACAACCTGGTAGTAGACTGGTGACATATCTAAAAGTAATGTTTTCTAATACTTAAGTGATTGATATAAGAAAATATGTGAAGCCATTTGTTTAACCACTTTAAAAGGTCTTAACGCATACAAAGAAAAATAATGCCTTCCACAGACTGTTAGTAAATCTTATTACAAAAAGTATTCAAAAGATAAAAAACAATGATTCACTTGTTTTTAAAAAATAGGAATAACACCTCTTAGGTTATAAATATTTTCAGGACAGTTAAGGGTTTGAGGTATTTTATTTCCCACACATCCTAAAACTAGATGCTCTACTTTTTACTCTGAAGAACTTAGTAGGCACCTTCTTACCCATATAAAAACTGCAAATGTTATTTTCAACATTTAAACACATTAACTGATCAGTTTTTCATCATATCTCTATTTTTAAAAATTAACAATCTCGGTATATCATGTAGTAATAATTGACCTAATTTTAAAATAGGTATTATTTCTTAACCTAAAATTTAAATTTTTAATAATCATTACAATCTTTTCTGAAACAACTTTGAAAGAGATGATATTCATATCTGATTAGTTTGCCTAAATCTACACAATCAAATCACTATCATAACAAAGGCAAAGATGACAACTCAGAATATGAATGTCATAACTCTTCACTAAATGGAAATTCTGAGAGAGAAAAAGTGTACGTTAAGGGAAGATGTCCGTCCAAGTTACTGCATCTGTTGGATGTCTTAGTTTAATTCAGCAACTGTAAACTACCAGTGTTTCTACATTGTCATTTGAGCCTTCAAATCACTAGACTCCTTGAACAATACACAAGAATTCAGCTATTATCAGAAATCATCATGAAAAAAGAAATTTATTAGCATAAAAGCTATCAGATAAGAATTGTACCGTCTCAAATATTCAGACTATGGCCCTATGGGTGCTGGAGAAAGAACACTGAACTTTGAGCCAGCAAGGATTCTGGACCTCATTAGCACAAGGTTGGTTGGAGGAGCCTTGGAAAAGTTACTCTGGAGGCTAAATAAGTTCATGCATCTGTAACATTAAGACCAAATCATCTCTCATTTGAATAACAATTAATTTTCAGGGTGCATTGACAGACCGATTGTCCTGTGAGGTTTACAAGAACCCTGGGGACAATGAAGGCAGGAAAATTAGTAATGTCCACCCTCCCCCCCTTTTTTTTTTACAGATGGATATTTCTTAAAACATTTGGGAGGATCACATGAAACTAAAAATTACAAAATGGCAATACAATTCTAAGGTAAAAGCATGAATCCCAACATTCCTACTTGTTCTGGGAGAATGAAAATGTGAGAATCATAATGGCTGAGAGATTAAATAGCCAAATATATAAATAAAAGGATTTTAAAAAGATAAAAAACAAATGAAAGAAATTGAAAGTTGATTGGCTTTTTTTATAAACCAATGATCCCAAAGTTTGTATTTTTTTTAATCTTTATTTTATTTTTATGTGTTGCTAAGGATTGAACCCAGCGCCTCACACATGCCAGGCGAGCACTCTACCTCTGAGCCACAACCCCAGCCCTGACTGGCTTTTATTTAACAGCATAGTTAAGAATTGTTTTTTAAAAGTACATGCATACACGATTAACGAAAAATCCCCGCGGTCATTCACCATAACATTAATAGTGGTTTGCTCCAGGTGGTGGAAATTTGTGTGTTTTTAATCTTCTTTTTTGCTTACCAAGGTTTTCTAAAACAAACATTAACTAGTTGGTATTCTAAATAAAAAAAGAGCCAAGAGACAATTTGCCCACTGGCAGCTAACATGCTAGAATGGTTAAAAGATCCAATTGCAACAGTTAACAACTCCCAGGAACCCACCCGGATTTCAAGGACACAAGAAGCCCGGAAGCCAGAGGGGGTTGGGGGAGAGGTTGGTAATTGCTCCTCGCTGATATCCACGGCCACCTCGTTCCAACCGGACTTCAAGCTGCAACAGGGGACGGCAGTTCGTATGACAAAACCCGAATCAAAAACTCCCTCCTGCACGCTCTCAGACGTCGAGGAGGAAGTGGCGGAAAGGGCTGAGCCGGCTGGCGCTCGCCAAGCATGCACAGGGGAGCAGGGGGCCGCCGCCTCGAAGCCCGGGCTGCAGTGGTCACTCCGCCGCGCTCCCGCCTGGGCGCGGGCTCGCAGCGCCGGGCTCGCAAGCAGGCCGCTCCGTCGAGAGGCTTCCAGATGCGGCCCAGGGGCACCCTCCCCACCCGGCGGGCCCCAGAGCTGTTCTTACAGGGTTTCTTGGCATCCTTGATCTTCATGGCGTCGGCCTGAGGGGCGAGGGGAAGCCTCGGGTCCGGAGCACGGGGAAGAGCGGCGGCGACTTCGGAGCTGGCAGGGCCGCGCCGCGAGGCCCGGCCGGTTCCTCCCCTCAGGCCGGGCGGGGCGGGCCTAGGGCGGGGCAGCGGCGCCTGGGGCGACGCCCGGCCCAGGAGGCGGCCCCCCACCCCCGCGAGGGGCGACCGGGACCGAGCGCGCTGGGGAAGGCCGCCGGCCTCGCCGCTCCGGGGCCCCCCTCAGCCGCTCCGAACAAAAGGCCCCGGTCCCCCGAGCCGCCGCCGCTGCACTGAGAAATAGCCCGCCCAGGCAGAGCATCCACGTGACGCTAGCCCCCCTTTTGCCCCAGTGTTCATGGGGCTGCTGGGAGTTGTAGTTCTCCGCGTCGAGAGGCACCGCTTCCCAGCCTCAGCGGCGCGGACGGACTACAAAGCCCAGGATGCATCGCGGCCTCTTCTCCCCGGCCCCCGCCGCTTCCGGAGATCGCCTCAGAGTGGTCCCAGCCAGAAGTGGGCGGAGCCTTGGTCACGCCAGCTAGGAGGCCGCCAATGGGACTCGAGGTGGGCCGGCGGGAAAGCCCGGGCTCCGACCTCTCTGGGCAGCTGCTGCGAGCACAGTACGGAAAGGGAAGTCTGCGGCCACCGCGGTGGCAGTTCTCCCCGTCGCAGGCTTCCCCTTTGGCCAGGAAAGCTGGCCCCCGGTCCCTGGAAATCGCTAAATTCAGGGCTCCATGCCCTTGCGTACGTTCGTGAGTTAAAGTTATTCCCAAAGAAATCCACTGGCTTAATAGAGACCTTGAGTGTTGGGATTGAAATAATGGCAGTAACAATGTTAACATTTATGGCATGCTTACCATGGCTAAGGCACTTGGCTGACCACTTTTGGTAAATTACTTACTGTGCCATTCAGCAGCCTTTGAACCACGTATCATAGTTATTAATTTTATATTCCCTTTTTTAGATGGGTCCAGATCTGGGAAGTTAAAGCACCTGCAGGTTTTTTGCCATTGTTGCATGTTTCCTGAAGGGGCTCTCCAGCCCAGCTCCTTGTTACAAAGGGGAAACTGACTCCCAGAAAAAAAAAAAAGGTGCTCTAGTAATTACAGCCAAGTCAGGACACCCTTTCCCTATGCCTCCTAGTGTTTAAGCCACCCGCTGGAAAGGGAAGAGAAGATATTGGGATTCTTCCAGCTTCCTTTGCATTTTGTATCTCAGATAGCCAGGAATTCAGCGACTTTGACAATAGATGGTTTGAGAGTTGACAACAGAAGATTGAGCATGTCAGGGCAAAGAAGCCCTTTTGTCAAAGAGCCTTACTGTCCCTTCCTTGTAGATTGTTATGGTTTGGAAGTGGTGTGCCCCAGTCTTAATTTCTCAACTCAGTAACATCAGAAGGTGGGGCCTTTTGGAGATTAGGCTGTGGCTCATGCCTCCTGAGAGGATTAACGTCTTTCTCCAGGGACTGGATAAGATGGTATGGAAGTGTGTTGGATCTGGTAGGACTTGATTAGTTACCTGAGAGCTGGTTGTTATAAAGCAAGATTACCCTAGTGTTCTGGTCTCTTCCACATTCGCCCACTTGCCACTCTCCCAGAGCCTTCTACTGTGTGATGCCATCCACCATGTTATAGAGCATTATGAGGTCTTCACCAAAACTTCTGTTTCCAGAACTAAAGGCTAAATGAATCTCTTTTTCTTAATAACCCAGCCTCAGGTATTTTGTCAGAACAACACAAAACAGAGTAAGACATAGGTAATAAAACAAGGGATGTGAAGAAGGACCAACAGGACATAAATTATTATTTATGGAGCATCTATAAAATGCTGGAACTTTGTAAGGTGCTTTATTTATTGTTTTAAATTTAACCTTAGTATTCACAACTACCCTTTGAAGCATAATGATTAAGAACTCAGAACCTGAGGATTGAGGATGTAGCTTAGTGGTATAGCTCTTGCCTAGCATGCGCCAGGCTCTGAGTTCAATCCCCAGCAATCCCCAGCACTGCAAACAAAACAACTAAAACCCCTCAAACTTGAATTCAAATCACATTCCTATCATTTGATTCTTCATCTCTGATTCTCAGTTGGGACAATGATGCATACATTTTATGGAATTGAGATGGGAATTAAGAATGCAAAAAAAGTGCTCAGCACCTGCCTGTCATATTTGCTAAAAGCTCTGTCCTTGTCCCTGTGCCAATCTAATAACAAGAACACGGTTTTGAGAAAAAAGAAAGGTTTATTGTTTTGCTAGCAAAGGAGAAACACAAGGTCCCAAAGGCTGTGATTCTGTCCATCAGCAGGAACAGGGGATTTTGAAGACTCAAAGGCTTCATTTCTCGTGTTCTCTGTCTGGAGTTTTGATTCACTTGTTAATTTGGGAGACAGTAATTTCTGAGATCTTCTGGTACCATTCTCAAAGTCTGGATTACTTCCTTCCTTCGATTTGGGATTGGAATAATGGCAGTAACAATGTTAACATTTATGGCATGCTTACCATGGCTAAGGCACTGGGCTGAGCACTTTTGGTAAATCACTCAGAGACAGATAACTCTGCCTACGATGAGGAAGAAAGGTAACCCTGTTTCCCCAGAGATTAGGGAGAGGGAGAGGTTAGGGAGGAGCAGAGACAAAGGAAGAGAAGGAAACCTGTCCATTTTAAAAATAAGTTGCAGTGGCAGAGCAGCAAGGGTTATAAAATGAACCCCTGTTACAATGTAAATAGTGATTATTATGTTTATTCTTTCTATTGTTATTCTAACAATAAGAAGAAAGATTAAATGTCTAGACTGTTTGCCCAAGATATTTATTTGAGTTTGGACCCCAGTTCTGTTAAGTACTTGTGGTTCCATATCTTTTTATTATTTTGATCTCAGATTTCACATTAGTTATTTAGTATGTATACTTTTAAGCCAGGGTGTGGTGGCACACCTCTGTAATCCCAGCAGTTTGGGAGGCTGAGGCAGGAAGATTGCAAGTTTAAAGCCAGCCTCAGCAAAAGTGAGGCACTAGGCAACTCAGTGAGACCCTGTCTCTAAATAAAATATGAGATAGGGCTGGGGATGTGGCTCAGTGTTTGAGTGCCTCTGAGCACAATCCCCTGTATCAAAAAGAAAAAAAGGAATATATATTTTTATTTATTTTATTTTTTTATGGAAACGTCCTTCAAAGCTCTCAGATATGTGACTTGGCAACTGAAAATCCTAAGTGATTGTTTTAGTCAGTTTTTTTGCTGCTGTGACTAAAAGACCCAACCAGAACAATTGTAGAGAAGGAAAATTTATCTGAGGTCTCACTGTTTCAGAGGTCTTAGTCTGTAGAAGGCTGGCTCCATTCCTTGGGGCTCCAGGTGAGGCAGAACATCATGGAAGAAGATTGTAACAGAGATTGTTTCTCCAGATACAAAATATACACCCCAAAGCCTTAACACCCTCAACCCAGCCCCCATTTCTGGTTTTCTATCATCTCTAATTAGGTGGTTAAGAATATAATCCAGTCTTTGGAGTCACAAACCCAAGTCAGTATCCCACTGTGGGAAAGCATCATCAATATCAGTACTATCAATCATCATCATCACCACCATTATGATCATGAAAGTACAGTTTTATTCAACAAAAATTAATATTAAATTATATATATATATATTTAGTTGTAGTTGGACACAATACCTTTATTTTCTATTTATTTTTATGTGGTGCTGAGGATCGAACCCAGTGTCTCTCACATGCTAGGCAAGCACTCTACTGCTGAGCCATGACCCCAGCTCCCCATATCTGGTTTTCTATCATCATATATCTTTTAGTTGTTTCCTGAGTTTTGTTAATGGTATCAGTTTGGAAGTCGCAGGGGAAGCAATACATACATGGCCTTGTATCAAACATACAGTCATGATCTGAGAGGAAGGGGAGCTAGAAATTAAAAACCATAGGAATTTGGATAAATTTTGGACATAGGCTGTCGCTAGTTTCGTTAGCCACAGAAACAACTATAAAGTTAGGTTTAAGCTAAGTGACACCTGCATTGTTACTGGAGTTAATATAACCTGTTCACTGATTGCTCAAATATGGTGCAATCATTTGGTCTATTCTGTGCCAGGAAAATACTGAACTTCAAATAGTGAGAATTCTAGTCTTAGATCAGGCATGGAATGTCTCCTCTCTGGGCTTCAAATTACCCATGTGCAAAATAAAATGATTGAGATTGTGTTCGTGTCTGCTCTTTGAGGTTCCTTTTTTCAAAAGCAATGGGAGATGTGTTCAGTCAGGTTTTTCCCTAATTTTTCATCCGTGAGATGAACACACTGAACAGTAAGGCTTTTGGGCAAAACTTCATCTGACCAGTCTTTCTTCAGCCCCTGGTGGCTCTAAGCCCACAACCCTCCCAATAACAGTTGAATTAAATGCATTTTCTCTCTTTTCTAACATGTCCTCAAAACCATTCCTGGCAAAGTGAGTAGGGAGCTGGAATGAGCATCTAAAGGGGCCAGGAGACCATTTTCTGGCCTCAATAATTATTGTCTATGAACCATAATAAATTTAGTCCATCTTGTAAAGTGAGAAGAAGCCTGACATATCCTCATGTTGCTTTTGTTGTGTGGACATTCATAGAGACAGGTGATGGTTTGTACTAAATGACTAGTAGGACTTGTGGTATGAAATAAATACACACTCATACACACATACACACACCCTTCAAAGCCCGGATGCAGCCTGTCTCTAATTAGAAAATAATCCAGTCTTTGGAGTTACAAACCCAAATCAGTATCCCACTGTGGGAAAGCATCACCAATATCAGTGCTATCAATCATCATCATTATCACCATCATGATCATGAAAGTACAGTTTATTCAACAAAATTAATTAAGTTTTAACTATGTTCCAGCACTAGAGTATGTGCTGGGGGCAGAGAGAGAGAGAATTAAAAAAAAAAAAAAAAACAGAGAAAGAGTAATCAAGTTAACAAATCAATAAGCAAGAATAGGCTGTGATGAATGGTGCGCAGGGCATCAGGCTGATGTGCTAATGAGGGCTTGGGGCTGTGGGCAAGGAGGCAGGCTTCACCTTGGATCAGATGGTCAGGGAAGCCACCTCTGAGGTGGCTTTTAAATTGGAACCCTGCACATTGCTGGTTTGAGCTGTAGAAGCAGCAATGTACGTGGAGTCAAGGACAGGGGGTAAAGTCCTAGGAGGTTTAACGGGAAAGGTGACCCTGAGGGCCACTGGAAGACTTTAAGCGTGAAAGTGACATGCTGTACGATTTTAGAGGCCTACCTGGCTGCTGTGTGTGAAACATCTGGAGAGGAGCCTTGACTTGGAAATGGGAAGACTAGTCACCTCAGACTCCCACCTCACCTCCCCAGCCCACATACAGTCAATCGCCAAGGCTGGGGGACACCAGGAGC